TGCCAGAAGCAGTTCTCAAATTTGGAGTTGTCAAGTAGGTCAAACAGGCTGTCATCTCATCTGTCAGACCCTAGGACTACATTCACAGTTCAAGTTCACTAGGAAGAGCTGCCTGGAACAGTTGGAAACCCTCATGCCCTCTTTTCTGTACAACAGCTACTTCTTATCACTGTACCTGGTGACCTGTTTAGTGCCTTGCTGGGCTGTTGGAACACTTTCTGGATTTTCAGTCACTATGCAATCCTGTGAGAACACTGACCCTGTGTATTATTTCCTGCCTCTGCCTAAAATTATGTCCTTCCCAGGTCCTTGTGGGTGGAAAGCTGGGAGTCTTGGATCTCTGGACTTCAAAGGAACTGTATTGACCTGATAGCTTACATCTCCTAATTTTACAAAAGAGCTAAAAGAGTCTGAAAGCTTAAGCTGCCCAATATTGAAATACCTGCTTAGGTTTTGAAAAATAACTTGAAACTCAAGTTTGTAGGCACATATTCCTTGTTTTACTAGGATTGGAAACTCCTGAGGTTTTGTGTATTTTTACATCTGTCAACAGTGGGACAACACAGTAGAGGATCCAAGAGTGTGAACTCTGTAGTCAGACTGCCCAGATTCAAGCCTACCTGCTATGTACTAGCATGTAGATCATGGTCAAGTCATTTAACATCTCTGTTCCTCCATTTCTTCGTCAAACGGATGTAATGATACCACCTCCTTCACAGGGCTGTTATATAGGCACAGAACGTACAACACTATGTAGAACGTTGTAAGTTTTCAATAAAGGTTAGCTATTACCATTCAACGAATTATTCATTCAAACTTAACGAAGATGTGCTTGGTGCCTATCATTTGCCAAGTAATAGTGTAGACCCCAGGAACAGAATGGCTGATAAAATAGGCACCATACTCCTCTCTGGCTTCTCTTTACCCCACCACTCCACCCAGAAAAGAGTAAACAATCACATGAGTACGCTTCTAATATAAATTACTTTAATTACTGTTATTAATATGAATTAAAACTAAGGAGTTTGGACTCAGGAAAGGAACAGAATGGCAAGGGTTGAGCATGCAGGGGTCGATTATGCAGGCCTTGTTAAATTCGTAAATATCATATTACAGTTCTGGATTTTAATATGTTCAAGGAGAAAGTTTTATGTTTTTAATTACAGGTGCTTCTGCTAAGCATGATATGCAAGTTTTTTAAAAGCATTGCATTCTGCAAATTCATATTAAAATAACAGGGCTCATAGAGAAAAAATATACGTACAGATCCCCAAAACTTGTGCAATCACCACCGGCAATCACCATCCCAATGAAAATATCAGCAAAAATAAACTATTGCTAAATAAATACCTAGTAAATATAAAATTCTATTCTTACAAAAATAAGGTAATTTGATAACATAGATACAAGTAAGGTTCAGCCTACTCTGAGAAAGGCACAAAAGTCTGGAAGAAGCACAGCACAGTATGATAGAATTTGTGTCCGACAAGAGCCAAAGTAAGAACAGAATGTGGGCCTGAGGGAAACGGGCATCATATTCTACACTGCACTCCTCTGTGGCTCCAGTTAACTTCAGCTTTATTACCATAGTTTGCATTTAGCTGCTGTTGTTTCGTGGTACAAACTGTTTATGTGTTGGTGAATTGGCTTATGAAACAACACACAGTAGTCACCCCTTATCCTGCATCATTTTCCATGGTTTCAGTAACCAGTGATAAACTGCAGTCCAAAAATATTATATAGAAACCTATAGAAATAAACAATTTATAAGGTTTAAACTGTGCACCATTTAGAGTAGCATGATGAAATTTTGCAGCATGTACTTCTGTCCCACCTGTGATGTGTATTGTCTTTTTGTGCAGTAGATTCACGTAGTAGACACTCCCTGCCCATGAGTCACTTATCCTTCTTGGTTAGCAGATTGACTGTCACAGCATTGAGTGCTTATGTTCAAGAAAGCCTTAGGTTAGTTAATAATGGCCCCAAAGTACAAGAATAGTGATGCTGGCAACTTGGATATGCCAAAGAGGAACCATAAAGTGTGCCCTTTATGTGAGAAGGTGAAAGTTCTCTACTTAATAAGGAAAGAAAATAGATCATATGCTGAGGTTGCTATGGTAAGAATAAACCTCTCCATGAAATTGTGAAGAATGAAAAAGAAATCCCTTCTAGTTTTGCTGTCCCACCTCCCAAAACTCCAAAAGTTACAGCCCCATGATATGTGCTTAGTTAAAATGGAAAAACTATAAAATTTGTGGGTGGAAGACATAAACAGAAACGTGTTCTGATTGATGGATAACAGCTTCGGTACTCTCCTTGGTTTCAGGCATCTCCTGGGCATTTTGGAATATATCCTTCACAAATAAGCAGGGACTACTGCGCTTTGCATGTTAAATTCACATTTCTATCTACTTACCAATCACTTATTCACTAATTTCCCCACACTATAGACACATATTCTAGCACAACCAACAGATGGAAAGTGATGTGAGTGGATGAAAACTTCTAAAAGATTACTCTGATAGGGAGTCACAAGTCAGATTTTAGACACCTTTGACTTCTAAGTGAAAAGGAGAATTTGGACCAGACTGGAGACAATGATGATGAATGTAGTCATATGTCCAACCTCAAAAATCTCTAATATACAATAAAAGGACACTTGTCTTGAGAGATGACCTTAGAGGTCAGTGTTTTCTAAAGTCTGAGTGTTAATACCTCATATCCCCAAAATAGTGAAAGAGAAGGTTTAATAGAACAGGAAGGCAGAAATGCAACCTAATGGCATATTCTAGAATAGATTTGGGAAGTCAGAGTTTCTGTCACCCACTTTTCTCCTTATATTTATCTCCCAATCTGAACGGACATGCTTAGAATAGGATTGGTATGAGTATGGGATGAAACATGGAAGAAAGAAAAAAATTCAAGAAATTAAAACACCTTACAGGTTAATCCTAGCAATTTGAACTTAAAAACAAATGAGAAAACATACATTACCCTGCTTACACGTTATTGAAATAGATGCAAAATGTTCTCTTAGTTTCTAATGTATTTTTACCACAAATATGATGCAGTTCATGTTAGATATTTTACTTTGAATGTTAAGAATAAATTGCTTAAATAGAAATCACACTTTGTGATTCAGACTGTATTTTCTAAATCAGTGCTGTCCAATGGAAAAAAATTCATAATGTAAATGTGAGTTGCATATCAAATTTTAATTTGCCCATAAACACATTAAAAAATTGGAAAGAGGCGGGGCAAGGTGGCTCACACCTGTAATCCCGGCATTTTGGGAGGCTGAGGCAGTCGGATCCTGAGGTCAGGAGATAGAGATCATAGTGGCCAACATGGTGAAACACTGTCTCTACTTTTAAAAATGCAAAAAATTAGCCGGGTCTGGTGGCACACACCTATAGTCCCAGCTACTCGGGAGACTGAGGCAGAAGAATCGCTTGAACCCGGGAGGCGGAAGTTACAGTGAACCGAGATTACACCACTGCACTCCAGCCTGGGAGACAGAGCAAGACTCCATCTTAAAAAATAAATAAAATAAATAAATAAGCAAAATTAATTTTAATAATATGTATTTTTATTACATTACACATAAGTGAATACACATTGATCTGAATTGCAGCTGACTAGTTGACAAAAACGCCATGTTTTATAGATACTTAATTAAACATGCATTGATTTTGATTTTAGTTCTCTTTGTTTGGAAGCATTATATATATTTTCTGGCTTCCAACATTTTTGGCCCTTAGAAACTTTACAGGCTCGAAGCACTGTGACCCTAGTGCCAAATGCATAAAATCACCCTGGTGCTAGAGCCACATTTCATCGTGCCTGCTTAGAAAATACAGGAATGCTTTTATTCCTTTAGACCTCAGTGCAATTATCACCTACCACAGGCTTTGGCTAACTTGGGTTTTACCCTCAGGATAGTTTTGTTTGCTTTTTTCTCCCCCCATCAGCATAATTTGCCTTCAGTTATTTATTTGACTGCTTATTTTCTGTTTGTGATTTTAGAGAGGCAAAGATTGTGTCTGTTTTCTTATCTACCACATAATTAAAGGCAGTGTATTATAGACACTCAATGAATATTAGATAAGTGAATTTAAAAACGTTTGTTATAAGAGAAAGCTCAAAAGTCATTTTACCTAAATGCAGAGTAAAAGTCTTGCTTCTGGTAGGGATCCAGGTTTTCTCTGAGCTACACAACATCTATAAAGTAATACTCACATTGTCAAGGTTTCTGGTATATCCAGGCTAGAGAAACATTTTTTAAGAAAATTTAAATTTATAAAGACTTATAACATTGTATCCATCATTTACATTTTAGTAAGATCATTCAATTTTACATTTAATAATTTATCTTGTTCTTTAGATCGTCTGTATCTTTCTATTCTCTAACTTCAGGGGCTTTTTGCTTTTTAAAAATTGTGTTTTCTTTATTCTCTACATTGTGGTTCTTAATTTTGGCATTTTTTTGATCCCCTAGGGGATATGTGGCAATGTCTGGAGATACTTTTTTCTTGTCACAAACCAGATATGGGAAGGGGTGCTACTGTCATCTATTAAATAGAAGAAAAAGGTGCTACTAGAAATCTTAAAATGCACAAAATAGCTTCCCAGCAATAATGAATTATCAACCCTAAGATGTCAATAATGCTGAAGTTGCAAGATCCTACTCTAACTTAATAGCTCACTTTAAAATAGCGATCTGTATTTTTCTCCTTAAAATGTTTTGCCAATTTTTTGAAAATATAATTTCTGTTTATAATGCACCTTTTGCTTCCTTGTAACTAATATTTTCTCAAGTCTGTAAAAAACTCAATTTATCCAAGTTAAAATGGTGAATAGCGGTGACCATTTACTAATATAATTCTTTTATAGTCTTTCTTCTCAGTTTCCTTAAATGTTGGCAGATATAGTGAGAGTTGTGATGAATATCATCATGCAATATTATTAATTTAATGTATCTTTGTTAATCTATTTCATAGGTCCCTTTAGATGGAATATAATACAGCAGAAGCCTTTTCATCAAAAGGATTAATGCCTGCATTATCATTTCTGCAATAAAACAAGAAGCTAAGTGGTGGAGGCCACAGACACCTCGAACCTGGATTCCACAATTCTACGTTAAGTTTTGGAGTTTTTATTACTCTGCTGTAGGAAAGCCTTTGCCAATGCTTACAAGGAACTGTTTATCCCTCCTTCTCTGGGTTCTGTTTGATGGAGGTCTCCTAACACCACTACAACCGCAGCCACAGCAGACTTTAGCCACAGAGCCAAGAGAAAATGTTATCCATCTGCCAGGACAACGGTCACATTTCCAACGTGTTAAACGTGGCTGGGTATGGAATCAATTTTTTGTGCTGGAAGAATACATGGGCTCCGAGCCTCAGTATGTGGGAAAGGTAATGGCGTGTTTCTTTTGACAACCACTTGATAGGAAGGGGGAATATGCATTGTGTATTTTGTATGGATGTTTTGCACAGGAGTTGAACAAACCAGTGACTAGAACACTGGAATTGAAATCCGAGAGACCTGGTTTATCTTCCTGACTCAATGGCCCGGGTAAGCTTCAGAATATCATTTAAACCCTCTTTGCTTTAATTATTCCTGATTATTTTAATGAAGATAATATATGTTTGGTTCAGTTTTTGACATTCTTTGCTGAAGACATGAAGTTAAAATATGAAAATGTTATTAAGCATAATTGTAACTGTAGTTAGAACTATAGTATCAGTATAGTTTATCATTTTTATTGCTCACAGCCAAATTGGAGATGTTTAGCAATAAGAGACACAGAAGAATCACCAGGCATAAATAATCTAAACTGATCTTGGTGTTCTTTAATCACAAGGATGTATTTCTTCTTCTTTCCCATTAAAATGTGATGTGCCATTTGGATTGTGGTTCTGAAGTATTCAATTTGGCTTGCTAAAACTTTATAAATAATTTCTATATGTTCAGCAGATATTTATAAATGTATTTATGGCTGAAGTAATAATTTTTGGAAGCCAAATATGTACACATCAACAGAGCATACAATTTAAAAATCTTATTGCAACTTTATGGAAATTTATTTTTTTTCACAAAATATTTGGTGGCAACTGTCTGTTTGACAGTTATGTTCTACTACTTATTTTTTTTTCATAAAAATTTTTTCACCCATGTCTAGAACAGTGTGACTTGTCCATCACACACAAAATAATTTCCCCCAGAAATACGTATTATATTTTGATTTTGTGAATTCTCTTCAAATTTTGTAAAAGATATTGCCATGGGTTTTAATTAAAAAAAAAATAGATGCCTGAGGAGAGTTTAAAATAAATCCAAAGTCACAAATGGAAAACCATAATAGGAAGAGTGTTTGGAAATGGGTATGGAAGATCACGACTCTCGAGCAGCAAATCCTTTGAGCTTTCTGAAAACATAAGCTAAAGATATACATAACAGGTTCTATCATTCCAATATTAGGTCAAAGGAAGAATAGTCATTTAAGATCTGAATCATTTCTACCACATTTAAAATAAATTGCCTTGTGGAAATGTATTTAAAGGATGTTAAACGATATAGTGGAAAAGGTCTTTAAATAGAATCTTTGTTGAAAGGGACATATAACCAGAGTTTCCACTAAGGCATATGTGGCCCCAGGCAAATGATTTTTGCAGGGCACCTATCTATGTTTAAAAATTGACTAACCCCAAATCAAATCAGTCCATAAGTATCATTCTAGTAGTCCAATCTCAATGATCTTACAAATACACACAGACACACACACACACAGACACATACACACAAACACACACACAAACACTGCCATTAAGCAAGAACTGTGAACTATCTCCTTTACAGGCTGCCCACCAGGAGTCAGGGGCTGTTCAGTTGGCACTGGGACAACCCCACGGTGCAATCCTTAAAGATCCACAGGGCACTTATGAACCTGTAGGTTGAGTAGAATGTCAAAGTGAGCCCCAAATGATAAATGGACACTGAGACCCAAACAGTTCCAGCCTAGACCAGAATGCCCTTCTCTGATCATATTGCTGTCCACTGATAGCCCTAGTCACACAACAAGTCTTGGCAAATTTTGAGCAAGTCACTCCAAACTATGGAATTCCCCAGAAGTTACTGCATAAATCTTCTCCTTGCATAATTCCTCAAATATGACCGTGGAATATAACAATCACTAACATTTCTATATTGTAAGATAATTTCATGTGGTCCTCCTACACTTGTTTCTTTTTATTTAATTTAATGTAAGAATGGAAGTTTGAAATCCAAGACAAAGGGAAGGGTAACATAGTCTAAAACTCTGCAAGATAGATGTCAGTTATCTCAACTCTGTTTATGACAGAAGCTAGGCATCATATTGAGATTCCTGACAAATTCTCTGTTTTTGATTAGAGAAGATCCATAGACCCCAATTTCCAGAATTGGAGGTAATAAAGTTGAAATTAGGTTAAAAAAAATAAAACTGACTTTTATTTGAACCTAGAGAGTGGTAGTATTTCATCTCCTCAAACGGTTCATGGGATTGTATATGCAAGTTTTTGCTTGATACGCGGAAATTCCACTTTTATAATTGCTATAACAGTGTAGAATTCATCCAGTTTATTTAAAAGAGGAACTAGCATTTATAAATATAATTAAAAAGGAGTAAGTCTAACATCTAACCTATCATTACATTTAAACAGCATTATTTCCACTGGTACACGGCTCCACATTGGTAATGGGCAATGAACACCCATGTTTCTCAAGCAGTGTATATTTCTAATGCAGATGAAAGAGCGGATGCCAAGATTTCTTTTCCACCAGGAAACTAATTAAATTTTAATTAACTGTCTTGATGCTTCTAGATTTGAGAATAGAAATACAATAACATGGAGACCAATTTAATCCATTATATATGTATGTATAAACATATGAATATATTTATATTCCACTCATTCCAGAAAGACTTTGAGATTACTCATAGAAAAGGAAAGTATTATGAATAATATGGAACTCAGAGCTAAGAAAAAGGGCTAATGCAAAAATGCCTAGGAAAATTGTCAGTTGTCTACAGTTCACCGTTGGACAACTTGGGGGTTAGGAGAACTGACTTCTCCCTAGCACAGTTGAAAATCCAAGTGCAACTTTTGACTCCCCCAAAACTTAACTACTCATAGCCTGCAATTGACCTGAAGCTTTACTGATAGCCTAGTCAATTAAAACATAATTATATGCTAGAATACATATAACATAAACATATTATGTTTATATATGTATATATGTATTATAGACTATATTCTTACAATAAAGTAATCTAGAGAAAAGAAAATGTCATTAAGAAAATCACAAGGAAGTCAAATACATTTACTATTCATTAAATGGAAGTGGGTCATCATAAAGGTTTTTTTTTTTATCCTCATCATCTTCACATTGCATAGGCCGAGGAGGAGGAAGAAGTGAAGAAGGTTGTTCTCACTGTCTCAGAGGTGACAAAAGTGGAAGAAAATCCACATAAAGTAAACCCATACAGTTCAAACTTACCTTGTTCTAAGATGAACTGTACTATCTTTGGCCTCAAATATGACTTTCTGGTTCTTGGTAGAAAGAGTATATATGAAAATCATTAATTCGTATAGTTCCCATTGTCAACTCCACATTTTTAGGGACCGATTGATTTTCTTACATTCAAATCTAAAATAATGTATTCATGTAGAAATTTGTAGAGGCAACTGAGAGACTTAGGTGACATGATCTTCAACAACCATTTTATTTAAAGAATCAGATGTTCATGTTGATATCCTTGCAAGAAAGCACAAACTGTGCTATTACTTGTAACAAATGTTACTTTACTTTCTATACAAATAAATCACAGGGTATACAGAGGTAAAGCTTTCCTCAAATACACATTGTGAATTTAATACATTACCTAGATAAGTCTAAGTTTTCATACTGTACAGTAAGAAAGAAATTAACTTTATCTGCAAAAATTTGTACTTCATATGTTACCAGTTGTTCAAACTAACCACAAGCAAAACATTTGCATTATTACAGACATACATATATATACGTGTGCACAAGTGTGCATACACACACCAACATGATTTATGCTTATACCAACATGGATAATTGCAAGCCTATATCTGTGTGGTACTAAGTTTTTTCATAGCCTCCAAGTTATGTATCCAGGAAATGCTGCCTATTTTATCCCCGAAGAATTAATTTAAGAAACTGAGTTGTCATTTCAGATGAATCCCAGTTAGCAGCAATTCTTAAATCTAAACTGTTTAAAAGGGCAAAAAATAAAAACGTAAAATATATATATAAACCCTAGTTTCTGAGACATCCATTTATTTAACTTACCTTTGATGAACAATGCATTACAACATGAGACGGTATTAAGCCTGCAGGAATAAATGTTACTGTGAAGGTCTCTAGATTACAATTATAAAAGTTAAACTTTATTGAGTGCTTCCTTTGGGCACCATTTTAATTGCTTTACAGACATATACTTACATATCTGCAAAACAGCACTATGTCTGATCTTCTTATTAGTGCTATTTTACATATCAGAAAACTGAGGCACCAAAAAGTTAAATGACTTCCCCATATCTCAACACCCAGTGGGTGCTTAAGCTAACATATCAACCAGGTGGTCTAGCTCCATTGCACCAGAAAATATCATGGTTTATTATCCTTCCAGGCTCTTAAGTGCTAACGATCATTTCAATACTGTATTAAAAGTGTTGTAATAGAAACACTATTAGGAAATGTCTATGACTCCATCCAGAAGATGGAGGAATTCTAGAAAATCATCACAAATGAGGAAGCACCTGAGATGAGTCTTGAAGGATGATTTGATTTTTCTAGAAGTGGTAGTATGGGGAAAAGTTTTTGTAAGCCCTGAGGCTTGAAACTTCAAGGTGAGCCTAGGTAGCCATATTTCAGTATAGTCAGATAGTCAGAGTGTAAAACCAATTACTTAGAGTGAATAAATACAGGAAGGGTGGAAAGGTTCAATTCTCATACCCAGATGAGTAGTATTCATTCTTAAAAGTGTAAAGACCCATAAAGTGCCTTGTTTGGGGATTAATACTAATGGAATTGCAATTCTGGAATGACCCATCAGACAGCCAATTAAAAGATGCGTTGAAGACAGGGGAAAAGGTATAGAGATAGGGAGAGCATCTGCAGGAGAAAGTTACAATGGGCGTGAGGAGGAAGTATAATGAAGGAAATGAGAAATTAGAGTTGAATATTTGAAAGGTGAAGAGATAATGAAAAACTTCAAGATTCATTGATCATGGCAATGTAAAGGATGAGACAAATTAGAGAAATATTGTGGAGGCAAAATCTGCAGAAATTAGTGGATAATTGCATACAGATAATTAAAGAAAGGGAAGAATAAAAAATGACACAG